GTTAAGTTCCCGCTAATCTCTTTCATATGTGCCTTCAGACTAGACATCAAACTACCAAATAATCCAATTAAAAAATGGGGTGCACATCTAAACAGAGAATTCTCAACAGAACAATCTCAAATGACAGAAAGAAACTTAAGGAAAGGCTCAACATCCATAAACATCAGGGAAATGCAAATCAAAACCACTATAAGATTCCATCTTACACCAATCAGAATGGTTACGATCAAAAACACCAATGAATGACAGCTTATGCTGGAGAGGATGTGGAAAAAGGGGAATACTCCTCCATTACTGGTGGCAATGAAAACTTTTACAGCTGCTGTGTAAATCAGTACAGCAATTTCTCAGAAAATTAGGGATCAACCTAACTCAAGACCCTGCAATGCACTGTTGGGTATATACCCAAAGGAGACACAGTCACACCACAAGGACATTTGCTCAACTGTGTTCATAGCAACATTTGTAATAGCCAGATCTTGGAAACAGCCTAGATGCCCCTCAACTGAAGAATGGATAAACAAAATGTGGTATATTTACACAATGGAGTACTACTCAGCAGTAAGGAACAATGGCATCCCAAAATTTGCAGGCAAATGGACAGAAGTAGAAAAAACATTCTAAGTGAGGTAACCCAAAACCAGAAAGACAAATATAGTATTACTCACTCATAAGTGGATACCAGACATAAAGCAAAAGATACCCTGCCTACAATCCATAACCCCAGAGAAATGTGAATGCTCTTCCAGAAGCAGATGCAGAAATCCACAATTAACCATTGGGCCAAGCTCTTGGAGTACAATTGAAGTGAAGGAGGAGTGATAATATGAACAAAGGAGTCAAGACAATGGGAAAGCCACAGGATCAGCTGACTTGAACTAGTGAGAGATCACTGACTCAGGTCTGACAAATGGGGAGCCTGCATAAGACCGAACTAAATTCCCTTAATATAAGTGACAATGGTAAGACTGGGACAATATATGAGGTCACTGGCAATGGATCCAAGATTTAACACTATTGCACAAACTAACTTAGTGCAGCCCATTCTATATGGAGAGATACCTTGCCCAGCCTAGACACAGGGGAGTGGGGGGTGAAGAGATGCCTTGGTCCTGCCTCAATGAGATGATGGGACACACTTAATACACTTCCTAGGGGAGGCCTTACCCTCTCAGAAGAGCAGATGGGAGAAGGGGGAGCAGGAGGAGAGAAAGGAGGGAGAACTGGGATTGGAATGTAAAAAATAAACTAATAAAAAGAAAGAAAACAAAAAAAAAACATTTCAAACAACCTGGAATTCAAGACTGTAGACCAGTACAAGACTTAAGCAGACAAATGGGTGGAAGTTATTTACTGGACAGTTCCAAAGCCACGTACAGTTTACTTCCACCAGAACATAAGGTTTAAACTGTGTGGGATCTAAAGGATACATTCTTCTCCATCTTACTATCAAAATTAAATCAACCCATTTTCACATTTGAATGGGCTGACAAGGAATAGGAATATCAGGACAACTGAACTGAACCAGATTGCCTCAAGGATTCAATAACTCTCTATCATTTTTGATGAAGCACTCAATAAAGACTTAAACCTCTTCTACAGTGAGTATCCTGAGGTATCTTTGCTCGAATATGTGCATGATTTATTGTTAGCAACTAAAGATGAACAAGACTGTTTAAGAGTCACCCTGAGACTTTTAGAGATTCTGGCTCAATTAGGATACAAATTCTCCTAGAGGAAGACTCCAATTTTCACACTTCAGGTTGCCTTCTTGGGTTATGAATTAAAAGAAGGAAAAAAGACTGCTATCCCAAGCCCACATAGGGGCTAGAATGCAAATCACAGTTCCAAACACTAAGAAACAAGTTAGGACACTTTTGGCAGCTGTTGGATGTTGCTGTCTCTGGATTCCTGGGTTTATTTAGTTTGCCAAACCCTTGTCCATTGCAATGGGCAGGGATAAAACTCCTTTAAAATGGACTGAGGTATGTGAATGAGCCTTAAAGAGCTTAACTGAGGCTCTGTTACAGGTCTGGGATTTGTCTCTCCCTGAGGCCCCCAAGCCTTTTTACCTCTTATGTCCAAAGGTATCCTGACACAGACTCAGGGGCTCTAGAAGAGAACAGTGGCTTATATTTTAAAACCACGGGACCCAGTTACCTCTGGATGACTGTTTTTTCTGAGAGCCATTGCTGCCACTGAAGTCCTGGTAAACAGTGGGGAAGATGGAGGTTTCAGTTCTGTAAGATCCCATCACCCTTCAGCGCCAAATAAGCACACAGAGACATGTTACCTATTAACCTGTTGGCCAATACCTAGGGCTTCATATTGGCTAGTTTTCTCTTAATTACTAGCCCATAACTACTAATCTATGTATTTCTACATGGCCTTATCTTACCAGAGAGCACCTGGCACATCCTATCTTCCTGGCCTCTGCATGGTGTCTCTCACTACCACCCCTCTTGCCTCTCTCCCCAGAATTCTCCTCATCTCATAGCCCCGCCTATCTTCCCACCTCTGTTGACCAATCAGTGTTTTATTCATCAACCAATAAGAGAAACATATGTACAGAGGACATCTCCCATCACAGTGGATGTCAAATGCCTGTCTAATTCATTATCAACCCTTCTCCTAGATAAGGAGAGTGACTTTTGACAAATCACTAGCCAATAACCCTGCCATCGTGCTACTGGCTAAAAACCCTGAGGAGCCCATCCCTGACTGCCTGGAGATTCTGGTTATCATCCAGGGCACACAACCTAATCTGACATATGCTCCAGTCCCCACCAAATATGCAGATGTCTACACAGATGACAGCAGCTTCATTCAGGAAGGAACCAGGTATGTAGGGGTGGAGGTGGTCACAGGCCAAAAAGAAGCCTTGCCTAGAGGCGCATCCATGCAAAGAGTGGAAATAATTGCTCTAACACAAGTCTTAAGGTGGGCTAAGTAGGAAAAGGGGGACATCTACACTGACAACCAGTATGCATTTGCCATGGCTCATGTCACAGACAGATTTATAAGCAAATGGCTTACCTACTTCAAAAGGAAAGACCATTAAAAAATAAGTATGAAATTATTCAATTGCTAGAGGCTATTTGGTTGCCAGCCGAACTGGTCATAATACACTGGCCTGGACACCAAAAACACAGAAACCCCAGACTCAAGGTAATAATAACTGCAGACTGGGTTGCCAAGGAGGTTGCACTCAGAGACCTCTGCCTCCAAACCATCTCAGAGCTATCAACTGTTCCTCAGCTCCCACTCCACCTCAATGAAGATGTCCCTAACTATGATCCAGAAGATCTCAAGTCATATTAAGACATGGGGGGCTTGGAAAACAACATGGGATGTTGGGTCCTGCCAGATGGAATAATCTACATGCCAAAGGTGTTGGGCCAGAATTGGCTACATATTTATACTGCTCCGTGCACTTGCCATCTACAAGGGTTTCAGAACTCATGTCCCCTCATGTCTGACTTGGACCAGTAGATAATTCAAGACATGTCAGACAGTTGCCTAATCTGTGCTCAGGTATATTCAAAGAGTATATGTTCCTTACAGAATGACAGAGTCCAGGTATTGTACCTGGTGAATTTTGGGAAATTGGCATCACTGAAGTAGTACAGGATTATTACTGATACAAATATTTGCTGCTTCTTTTCAATACTGTTACAGGCTGGTTATTGGCATTTGCATCCCAACCAAAATGATCCAGGTGGTAGCCAAGAAATTAATAATGGAAATTATTCCCAGTTTTGACCTTCCTCTAACAATGGCCTGACCTTCACAGCTAAATTGCCTGAGTCACTCTCTAAGCCTCTTAATAGATATTGGAATCTCCATTGTATTGTCTGTCGTCCTCAGAGTTCGGGGAAGGTAGAAAGGACAAACAGGACTTTAAGGAAGATTTTTGTTTGTTTGTGTTTGTTTGTTTGTTTTTCGAGACAGGGTTTCTCTGTGGCTTTGGAGGCCCTCCTGGAACTAGCTCTTGTAGACCAGGCTGGTTTCCAGCTCACATAGATCCACCTGCCTCTGCCTCCTGAATGCTGGAATTAAAGGCGTGCGCCACCACCAACCAGCTTTAAGGAAGATTTTAATTAAGTATGCTCTTAAGACTGGTGGTAACTGGGTTGATCTCTTGCCTTATGTTCTTCTCAAGGTTTGCTATACCCTCTACCAAGAAAAGTATACCCCATGTGGAAGACAACCTGCAGTGATTCCTTGACTGCATACTGGACTATTATCATATGCTGCACCCTGATCTCTGAGTCCTTTGAAGGGTTACAGTTAACTTTGGATGAGATTTTCTCCCAGGTCCTGGTAGCTCGATCTGTTGGGTACCAGCCACCTGATCGCTTGTTCCAACCCTGAGATGCTGTGATGATCCATTGCTTCAATGCTGATGGGCATGAACCCAGGAGGAAAGGACCTTGCATCACAATTCTCTGGATTCCCACTGCAGGCTAAGTCACTGTTTTCCTGCCTGAATTCATCACTCTCATGTTAAGGCACCAGACTACCAAGATGACCCAAAGGAGAATGGGAAGAAGAGGTAGACTGTACCTGAACTCGGTCCCTTAAAATTTAAGACTTCTAAGGTTTAAAACTGCTCGAACTTCCTTGTATTTGCTTTTGATTGGCACTATGATTGCTCCCTGGCTGACGGTTATGCTCCAATTTGCTTTAGGACTTGATCCTAACTATAAATTAACTGGGGAAATAGAAGGAAACCCTGTTATAGGAAATGCCTTACTATTACTTTGTGAGGCTAGGGACTAGGTCCCACTTTTGGCAGAAGAAAGGAAAACAAACTGCTTTGAACCAGATCGGATAACAAATGGGATGGGCTGGTTTAACTGACCAGTCCCAACAAAACAACACAGACTTCAGCATAATCAAGTATTCTCTAACATGTTGTGATAAGGGAAACTACAACTGTGTTTAGATGACAAAAGAAAAAGAAAACTCCTCCGTCACTTTCACAAAAAGTAAAATACCTGTAATGCCACTTTCAGTAGGTAACGAGTCAGATACCAATCTTTGGCTCCATCTAGTGTCAAACAGTGGACAGGCACGTTCCTTTTCGGCCAATTGGACTCACAACAGGAAAATGAGCACAAAGTGAGAGACCTTGACCCTAAATGGGAGGTCTCCATCAAACCATCCCTTCAGAGCTCAGGGAACCTGTGAAAGAACAGATAGAAATATTGTAAGAGCCTTGCAAACACAGCAGGATGGGTGGGCATATAAACTCACTGAGAATGTGGCGGCACGTACCAGGGCCTGCGATGCGCCCAAGTCAGATGGGGTCCCAACCCCGAGAGGGAAAGCGGATATAGTTGGCCAACCCTAAACCAGCAGCTATTTTCAAGTGATAATCACTCACGAAGGAAAAATTGGGACCACTCTTAAAGAAAGACCTGGTGCCCCTCAGTAAATGGCCAGCACAAAACATGCTCCATGGCATTTCTGGAGTTTCCTAGTCTCATAATGATTTGTCTGGAATTTTTCCTCCTTTTTTTTTCCTTTCCTCAAAGATCTTTTGCATGGTATTATAGTTTCTGATATTGTATTTTTATGGGATTTCCATGTGTGTCTATGTGTCTATATTTCATGTACCATCCTTTGGCCTTTGTCTTCTGTTAGTTTGTTTTGTCTTGTTGGATTTTGCTGGGTTTTATCTTATTTTACTTAGGGACTCCACTAAGTGGGGTGGGGTGGTGGTGGTGAACCTTTAATCCCAGCACTTGGGAGGCAGAGGCAGGTGGATCTCTGTGAGTTCGAGGCCAGCCTGATCTACAAGAGCTAGTGCCAGGACAGCCTCCAAAGCCACAGAGAAACCCTGTCTTGGAAAAAATGCATGTTTGTATTCAACTAGAAATGGATGGCAACTCATGAAGCTGGAGTGTTGGGGAGGATCTAAGAGGAAATAGAGGCAATACATAATTGGTATCCATTGAATGAAAAAAATAAATTTCAATAAAAATATACTTAAATGTTTTTCTTGAGAAAATAGTATCTACTATGGTTGCCAACTAAGATATAAAATGGAGTTTAAGGGTGATAATGCTTTCTTTCCAGAATCAATATGAGGATAGTATCCTGAGGCATTCACTCATAAATTCCATTAGAAATCTTATTCTCTGGACTATGGGAACAATGAAAGCATCAGTCAGCCTTTCACTTCTGAAACCAGGACTGCAGGACACATCACATACAGAGCTCAGGATATAAGGAGAATGGCATTTGTGTTTGCAAGAAATATTTTGAACACTTCTCATTAATACTCTATTTAGAACATTAGCCCCTGAAAATGTATTTTGCATACCTGTGGTTCTATCAAATTGTCATTTCCCAAGGAGTATATTATGTAGTTACAGATTTAAATTTTTCTGACAACACATTGCTTGCAAAAGATTAGGAAAGTTGGAGATGAAAAATAAATATTTGGAATCGATATATTATACTTGATGAGGCCTCAAGAGACATACACTGCACCACAAGATTTTGGTTGCATATGTCTAGTGTAAATTATTATCCTTAGGTTCAACTGACTTGCTTACAACCTGTAGGCCAACCTAGCATGTCTTCAGGTAGATACAGTTGTCAACCTGTAGGCCAATCTAGCATGTCTTCAAATAGATACAGTTGTCAACCTGTAGGCCAATCTAGCATGTCTTCAGGTAAATACAATTGTTCACCCTGCTGTAAATATGGGAGAAACTGTATTATTTTCACTTACAGGAAAGGGTTTTGTGTAAGATTCAAAATATGGAAAATATTATTTTCTGCATATGTATTTTGTTTATGGTTTTATTCATATAGCAATATGAATATAAGTTATGCTATTTAATAAGTTATATGCTACCTAATTACTTCAAGAGGAAAATCTTGTCTCATTGTCATCTGATTGGATAAAATCAACTATTTACCTGAGCAAAAGTCAACACAGGATTAGAATTTAACTTCTCTATCTCCAAATAAAATAGTCTGTGATTCTCTAACTTAATATTTTAAATCAATCCCTATAAATCAAGTATATTTTTTCCTGTTTAGAAGATTTAATGTAGCTTTGCCATATGTTCAGTCCATGAACTGAGCAGATGGGGGAAATGGATCAGGAACTGAAGGCCAGCTTCAGCAACACAGTCAGTTTGAAGGCAGCCAACCAAAATTAAGTGAAAAAAAAATAATAAAATAATTAAATTTCATCAAACCTCAGTATTTTTCTCATTCAACAGCTACATAAACCTAAAACTTACACTCACTCTAGCTATTTTCAATATCCATTTCTAAAAATCTGTAATAAAATTTATGTTTTAATAGTAATGCTACATTTACATCCTATTAAACCTAGAAAGTTAACACCTCTTTATTCAATCTTAATGGTATTTTAAGACTGGATAATCCTAGAGAGAGAATTTCAAAGGTTGATGAGAGAAAGACAAGTTTGTCTTTTCAAGAAAGACATTTATCTCAGTCCCAAGTGATCAACTCTTAACACATGCAAATAAAGACAACATAACTGAACTTAGTAGCACAAGGTGTGTGTCTGTGTGTCACCATCAAGTGATAGGAGTCAGAAGGAATAATGGACATTTTCATCTCCATTTTAATGATATGTTTTGAGGCTGGAGAATTTACTGAATAGTACTGCTCCTCTTGGGTACCCAAGTTTGGTTTTTAGCACCCACATCAGATGACTCAGAACTACCTGTATTTCCAGGTCCAGGAGATCTGATGCATTCTTCAGGCCTCTTAGGGAACCAGATACATAAATGGTGAAAAGACAGAATTGTATGTGATTCCATAGCTTTAAAAAACGTTTTCTTCATGTATATGTTATCTTCAAAAGGAATGAAATTTAATTTAGGTGCATAAATTTTGTCAATGTGTATATCAGGTGCATGCCAGGTGCCAGTGGAGGTCACAAGAAAGTGACTGATCCCCTGTGACCGGTGACTGGAGTTACAGACTGTTGTGGTTGACTTTTGTATGCTGGGATTCAGAGTCAGGTAGTAAAATTAAGTCTACCTATGTATAAATTTTCTTAAGCTATATGCCTTATGGTACAAGTTTAAAGGTAAATAGTTTTACAGATGTTTAAACTTACCCATTGAACTTACAAATACTGAGATCAAGTTTCTAGCATAGATTTGAGATTTTGAGAACAAAGCACAGAGAAATTGTAGAGATAAAAGACTTTTAAGAGTGTGAAGTAAGCCGGTCAGTGGTGGTGAATGCCTTTAATCCCAGCACTTAAGAGGCAGAAGTAGGCAGATCTCTGTGAGTTCGAGGTCAGCCTGGTCTAAAATGAGAGTTTCAGGAGAGCCAAGGCTACACAGAGAACCCCCATCTTGAACGACCAAAAGAAAAATGTGAAGTAGGCAAAACTTTACAGTAGGACATTTTGGAAGTGTAGAGCAAACCAAGGTTAGATATAAGCGCTTGAGGTCAAGTTGTTTGTAAACCAAGGATGAGGGGGAGAGGAGTCACAAAATGAAACTTCACAAGGGGAGACAGGCTGAGGGAGAGAAGCCCAGGAGGGCAGAGAGAAGCTGCAGGAAATCACTGAGAGCAAAGTCTCTGGGAACACAGGCAGGAGCTGAGAGAAATCATAGTAGTCCAATGGACTTAGAGAAGCTATGGGACTCAGGAAGCTCCTAGAAAGAGAAGTCAAAAGAAAAGTGTCACATTGGCCCAGCCAGGCTCAAGGAAGTTATGGAATTGCAGGGGAAACTAAAAGCAAACCTATTGTCATAGTGACAAGAATTTCAACTTGGGGCATCTCTAAGTGGAATAAAAGACTTGTCTGAGAAATTTTCCAAAAATCACAAAGGCATCCCTTCCCATGTGATCAGAGGCCCTGCTGCTTGAGATATGAGCATCCTGGCCACTGGTGGCTTTTGTAGTAATAATAGGCACAGTGGGCAGCTCCAGACTGACACTGAGAGACTCAGTTTCCATCTGAAGTCTATTCTGACTTTTAAGACATTAGAGTTCAAGCTTGCTTGCTCCAGTATCCTTGAGAGCCATGAGAAAGTTCTGATTAAACCCATAGGATAGAGTATATTATTTCTCTAATGAGCAACTGATGCCAGCTGTAGACTCACAGACAGATAACACAGCTGCTTGCTGCTAGTAGGACACACATTTTAAATAGTGAGCCTGGCTGCTCCTTGATTCAGAGACAGTGCAGAGAGCTGGTTAGATGATTCTGCTGCCCTTTGTTCTGCTTTGCTTCTAGTCTGTATACAAGCAGGGTCTAAATTAAACTCAGGGCTGTCCCATGTGCTGAAAGGCATGGACTGGGCAGAATCTATCCTGTGTTTCTGTCTTTGTTTCTTTTATCTGCCACTTCTCAATACTCACACCCCTATTCAGGTAACCCAGCTGACTCATCGGAACAGGCTCTGACAAGAGGAGACAATAGAGTAGCAGAGGCATTTTGGAAAGGGAGATGGTATCCTCAGTAGAAATCTATGTGGGTATAAAGAGAAACCCAGATAGGTATAATAGGCCAGAGGATATAGATGTGAGATGTGTGCCCAGGTGGATCACTCAGGAGTGGGTAGAAGGCTCAGGCTAAGGTTGAGACACTTATGGAGTAGAGGAAGTAGAGACAAGTCACTGATTACTCAGTATATTTAGTTTATAGTAAAGCTGGGCTGTGGTGATGCTGCCTTTTAATCCCAATACTCAGAGGAAGAAAGTTCTCTGTGAGTTCTTGGCCAATCTGGTCTACAAAGCAAGTTCCAGGAAAGCAAGGGTTGTTACAAAGAAACCCTGTTTTGAAAGACAAATAGAATTTATAATCAAATTTGGTAGGTGGCAAAGCAAAACAGAAAAAAATACTGCTTTGATATGTTAATAGGTACCTCAGTATTTGTTAAAATTTGAGATCTAACAACTATTATAGAATCCTAGGGGTCTTCCCATCCTTCCACTCTGAATTGACAGAATTCCACCTTAAGGAAGGTTCTAGATTCAGACACTTCCCTTGAAACAGTCTGATCTTGACATGGACCCCTGATTACTAGCTGTGACCATGGACACATAGTTAAGTCTTGTGCCCTGGCATCCTCACTTGGTGGTGCAGATGCTTAGAATGTACTTAGAAGGCTGAGGCAGGAGGGTCGGGATTTCAAGGGCTACACTGTCAATTCAAGGATAGTCTAGGCAACTAAGACTCTCTCAACACACATACATAATATCTTAACAGAAACATTTATTTGCAGGGTTTTCTTTTGTCATTTGTTTGTTGACACAAGATCTCAGTATGGAAGGATGGCATGATCTGACAATCCAGGCAATGGTGGATAACCTAAAAGCCCTTCCCCTAAAATGAGATTGATGACTTCTCTTTATGCCATTCTAGAGCCCCTCATCCAGTGGCTGATGGAAGCAGAGACAGACATCCACAGTTATACACTGAGCTGAAATCGGGAATTTAGTTGAAGAGAGGAAGGAATGAAGAGCAAAGGGGTCTGTACCAGGTTGAAGAAACCCACAGGAACAGTTGGCCTGAACAAGGGGGAGCACATCGACCCCAGATGCTGTCTGGGAGGCCAGTACAAGACTGATCCAGACCCCTGAACATGGATTTCAATAAGGAGGCCTCTGCACTCCAGGGAGCCTCTGGTGGTGGATTAGTATTTATCCCTGGTGCAAGAAGGGACTTTGAGAGCCCATCCCATGAGAAGGGTTACACTCTGGTCCTGGACACATGGGGAAGGGCCCAGGACCAGCACAGGAAGATTTAGTGGACTTTGCAGAGCCCCCATTGAGGGCCCTACCCTGCCCTGGGAGTGGTGGGTGGATGGGGTGGGGGGTAGGTTGGGGGTTGGGAGGGAAGAAATACAAATGGCCAATAAACATTTTATTTAGAAAGAAAAAAAAAAAGATCTCAGTATGGACCTGTGTATCACCAAGTGGATTATATCAATGTTTTTTATTTCAGACGGGTCTCATTGGGTAGAGCACTAGCCCAGCATGCGCCAGGCTTCTGCATAAACAGGGTGTGGTATTGGAACCTGTCATCCCAGTAACTAGAGGTTGACTCAGCAAGGTCATGATTTCAAGGTCAGCCAGGGCTTCAAGAGTCTGTTTTGAAAACCAACCTTCCAAAACAATTATTAAACAAAAAGATCATAGCTCAGTGGATGTCATGGATGGCTCAGAAGACAAAGGTGCTTGTAGCCAAGCCTGATAGACATGGTTTGGTCCTTAAGACCCACATGGTAGAGAGGACTTGGTCCCACATGCTTCCATCTTACTATGAACAGTACTATGCATGTGCAGACACAAAGACAATAATAAATTAAATCTTAAAAGAAATAAAAAGGGATGAGAGATGGTTCAGCAGTGCAGTAAAAAGTTTTTTTCCCTTTTGGGGGACCTGTCACCCAGCTCCCAAGTAAATCACACACTGATGCTTATTCATAGTTATGAATGCCCAGCCTTATCTTAGCTTGTTTCTAGCCAGCTTTTCCGATCTTACATTTTTGGTTGTGAGCCTAGCCTTTAACAGCTGAGCTATCCCTCCAGCCCAGCTTTTCCTATCTTAAATTATCCCATCCACCTTTCCCAGGCTTTTAGCTTTCTTACTTCTGCATGTCTTACTTTCCTTCTTCCTCCATGGGGGCTGGATAGCTGGCCTCTCAGGTCCTCCTCTCCTTGTTCTCTCATTGCTCCTCTCTCCTTCCTCATTTCTCCTTCTATTTATAGTCTCTGCCTGACAGCCCCACCTATCTTTGCTCCTGACTCGCTATTGGCCGTTCAGTTCTTTATTAGTACCATAGGGTGTTTTAGACAGGCAATGAACCACAGCTTTACATTGTTAAACAAGTACATCATAAACAAGTCACACACCTCACAATACTCTATCACACAGCAGTTTAGTACTTCTTGCAGAAAACACAGTTGTTTCCCGCAGACACATGGTGGTTCACATCTGTAACTCCAAAGTTCTAGGGGATCCAACCACCTCTTCTTGCCTGCCGGACAGTGCCCTCGTGTGCAGACAGGTGCCCGTGATCATGTGGAAATATCTTAAGAAGAGCATAATGGCAGGAGCAATTCACAGTAGATCTCACTCTTGTCCTCTTGTACCTGGAACCAAGCTCCACGAGCTGCCTCTGCAGCCAGGTCCTATGGTCTGGCAGGGTGTTCTGTGCATGTGCACCAGTACTTCCTGGCTGCACCTCGGGTGGAGAAATGTATTTTCAAGGCTCTGGGCTTGAATCCCAGAACCTCCACAAATAATCATCTCTGTAAATGTGTTTAAAATTATGTACTTGCAAAGATTTTATCACATTTCATTTTTGTGTGTATCTGCAGGTAGGTGCACACATGCCATAGTGCAAAGGTAGTGGTCAGAGAACAACTTGAGAATTGGTTCTCTCCATCATGTTGGAAGATGTCACTAGTGTTGGCATCATGTAGTGGCGTCTTGCCTATGAACCAGTAATGGTGGCCATATCCCTTTGGGCATGGCTTCAGGTGGACAGAAGTGGAAAGAGAGATGCATGAGCTGTGGTCTTTCTCTCATGCTCTTTCTCTTGGATCAGGAGATCCAATAGGAAGAGCAGAGAAGCACCTCTGTGTAAGTGTTCCCCAATAAATATACATTTATCATTTATCTTGGGTCTAATGAAATTATTACACCCTCACCTTCAGCATCAGGCTGCATCTTGCTGACTTTAACTATACATTTTGTAAAATATGGGAGTATATGTTTGTGGTATATATCTGAGAGTGGTTTATTTGTAGGGCATGTGTGATGCATGTGTCAGCTCATGTCTGCCAACTTTGCATGTGTGCTTGGAGTTCATGGGTGTTTGGATATAAGGGAGTCCCATGTGGAAAAGGTGTTATTCATGCAGTTGCCTGTGTAAAGCTCTGGTATGGCAGGGTTGGCCTGTCACTGACAGACTTTGCCAAACACATCAAGCCCATTCCACCTGTCTGTCCAAAGTCCTCATCAAAGGAGTGGGTGCTGAGAATTGAACCTAGGACCTCTGGAAAAGCAGACATCTTTCCAGATTCCTTTTTTAAGACAGGATCTGTCTATATATTTATGGCCATCCTGTAACTCAATATTTAAGCCAGACAGGCTTCAATCTCAAAAAGATCCACTTGTCTTTCTCTTGCAAGTGCTGGAATTATAAGACTGTAGCACTACACCCAGGTGAGATATGTTTTTTAAATGACCTAACATTGAATCAGACATTGCAAGGGTAATATAAGATTTAAACAAGAAGCATCATGTTTTTAAATAAACAGTAACAGTTCTAGGAATTTTTCAATGAACTGATTTCAACTGATAAATCATTCTTGCTTTAAAAAAATTTAAATGTGGCAGGCTGGTGGTGGCATATACCGTTACCCCTTGCACATGGGAAGCAGAGGCAGGTGGGTATCTCTGATATTGAGGTCAGCCTGGTCTAGTGGTTTCAGCAGTACTAGGGCTACACACTAGGGCTATTTTGGAGAAAGGATGAACCCTTTCTCCAAAAATGGAAAAAAATTACTGTGTAAACAGCACTACCATGGTGTTTACAGAGAACAACTTACAGGTATCTATTCTCTGTGTTGTAATCCAGGCAGATCTGGCCCCGACTCACACCCACCTGCACATGGCCAGTTTATGTACCCTGGCTCTTTAAAAGAAAGGCTCCACCCTCTTTCGTTCTCTCTTTTCTGCTCTTTCTTGATCTCTTTCCCACTGTTCCTCTGGGGCAGACAGAACTTTTCCTGTCTTCTTCTTCTCTTCTGTCCTCTTTACTTCTGTTCTCTTTCCTTCCCCCTTGCCTTCCCTTTCCCTCAGTAAGCTCTGTCTGCCTGGAATGTTTGTCCCTCCGCCTCAGTCAACCTTGCCCGCCATGGAATCTGCCAGGCTTAGTAGGGACCACATTTACCCTCTAATAAAACTCTCTGGCATTCATTTGTGTATCTGAGAAAATGTAAAAAATAAGTTATTAGTCCCCAGAATAAAGTAACATAATCCAAACATAATGGGTGACAGCATAAATATCATTTTTATTTGTAAATAGGTTTTATTATTCAAATTATCCCATACTCCCATATTCTCAGAATACAGTATGTCCAACAACTTTACCATATTAACTATATCCATAAGGTTTCTCTCCAGTATGGCTCCTTTCATGTATTTGAAGATTACTTTTACAAGCAAAGGTTTTACCACAGTGATTACATTCATAGGGTTTCTCTCCAATATGACTTTTTTCATGCCTGTGAAGTTGACTGTTATATGCAAAGACTTTACTACACTGAGTACATTCATAGGGTTTCTCTCCAGAATGACTCCTTTCATGTATTTTAAGATTACTTTTACATGCAAAGGTTTTACCACAGTGATTACAACCATAGGGTCTCTCTCCAGTATGATTTCTTTCATGTGTTTGAAGATTACTTTTATAGGCAAAAGCTTTACCACATTGATTACATTCATAGTGTTTCTCACCAGTATGACTTCTTTCATGTATTTGAAGATTACTTTTACATGCAAAGGTTTTACCACAGTGATTACATCCATAGGGTCTCTCTCCAGTATGACTTCTTTCATGTAGTTGAAGATGATTCTTATAGGCAAAGGCTTTACCACACTGATTACATCCATAGGGTTTCTCTCCAGAATGTCTTCTTTCATGCCTGTGAAGAATACTTTTACATGCAAAGGTTTTACCACAGTGATTACATCCATAGGGTCTCTCTCCAGTATGACTTCTTTCATGTATCTGAAGCTCAAGTTTACGTACAAAGGCTTTACCACAGTGATTGCATCCATAAGGTTTCTCTCCAGTATGACTTTTTTCATGTATGTGAAGATCACATTTACGTCCAAAGGCTTTACCACAGTGATTACATTCATAGGGTTTCTCTCCACTGTGACTTCTTTCATGAGTGAGAAGATTACTCTTCTGTGCAAAGGCTTTACCACACTGATTGCATCCATAAGGTTTCTCTCCAGTATGACTTCTTTCATGTATGTGAAGATCACATTTATGTCCAAAGGCCTTACCACATTGATTACATTCATAGGGTTTCTCTCCAGTATGAATTCTTTCATGTCTGAGAAGATTCTTCTTCAGTACAAAGGCTTTACCACATTGATTACATTTATGAGGTATCTCTCCAGTGTTGGTTCTTTCATGTATTAGAAGATAACTGGTATGTGCAATGGCTGTATCACACTGATGATATACATGTGCTTTCTCTCTAGAATGAGTTATATGTATTTGATCGAGACTGTGACATGGAAAAGCTTTAATACTTTTATTATAATCATAGTTTTTAACTTCCAAATGAATTTTTTGTTGTACTTTTAAAGAGGAAGCAGATCCAAATGTTTTATCATATTGTTTATATTCATAAAGATCCTCTTGAGTACTGGCTACTTTTGTGTCTCGGAAGATGATATATCTATTAAACGAAGAATAACAAACAAAAGGTTTTCACATTGCATTCACATAGTCTAATTTTGTATGCCTCATGCAGATGTGGTGTAGGGATTAGGGTTTCTCCATGATTAACTAGGTCCTTGACTCTCATAAACTGCTCCTTTCACTAAACTATCGCAAGTCCCTCATTACAAGGATTTGAGGAACACTAGTATTAATAGGGAAGGTTTGCCTATAGCAGATCTTGGTCATAAACTAAACCCCTTATCGATGTGTATACCTTTTACAATACTTGATTGGTATGAAACTAAGTGGATGGACAGTTGTACAACATGCCTCTCATATAGCTTTGGTTAAAATTGTAACATCTATTATGGCATTGTTTCCTTGCCTTTTTTGAATTAAAAATGTATTCTTTATTATATCTACAGTATTATGTCTGAATGTATGCCTGAGTGCCAGAGGAGGACACCAGATCTCATTTAGACAGTTCTGAGCCATCATTGGGGTGCTAGAAATAGAACTCAGGATCTCTGGAAGAGCAGCCAGTGCTCTTAATACCTGAGCCATCTCTCCAGCCCTGTTTGTTTGTTTGTTTGTTTGTTTAGAAAGCATGAAGAGACATTGGAGTATAAGATGTTGTGAGAATTTAATAATCATCACAAAACTACACTTATTTACACAGCTGCTTTTCATCAAAAGTTTTGGGTACATTAACATTTCTTCATATATCAGCTTGCACATGAAAATTACCTTCCATGTCTTCTAGAACTTTGGCAATATTCTTCAATATTATGGTCTTCCCACTTGTAGCCTAAAATACAGTACCAGAAAAACGTATGATATATTGCTGGAAATTGGGCACAATTTAAATTACAACTTCAGTGAACTTTAGAACAATGCCTAATTTGTTCACTGGATTCTTTCTCTTCTATGGTTGAAATCACAGAAGAGCACCAACCTCCAAAAAAGGCTTATCCCCTCAAGTGAAAAAGTGACAGAAAGTTCATTCTCACCTACAGAAATGAGGTTCCAGTAGATTTCCAGCATCACATCTTTGTAGAGATTCTTCTGGGAAGGATCCAGAAGTGCCCACTCTTCATGAGTTAAGTTTACATGCACATCCTCATAGGTCACCGCATCCTAAAGTATCCCATGTAAATATGTAATAGAAATGGTTAGACTAACTTCATTGTGAAAGTACACTTCACTGAGGTTATATTTGCATGACTCTGTGTACTCAGTGTATTCTATGTCATGGGTCATAGATTTTCAAACGCAGTCACAAACTCATAGAAGGAAACAGAAAAGAAGGATGATGCTGCCAGGAGGTGGTGGCCCACACCCTTAGTCCCAGCACTCGGGAGGCAGAGGCAGGCAGATCTCTGGGGTGTTTTTTTTTTTTTTTAAGCAAAGGCAGATTTATTAAATGTGGCCATATGAGGAAGAGAAGTCAGTGAAGAGGTCCAGTAACTCTCCCAAGTCTGTGTGGAGTTCTTGACAGGGGTTTAAGCTGCAGTAGAATAAATAAGCATTTCTAGGCAAGATGTGGCCCATCACCTGACTCTCATTGTTTCTGGGGTCGTTGATTATCTTTGGAGGACCTGAGAAAGCTGGGGTGCTGCCATGTCCTGGGGTAGCTGGTTGTTTCATTGCAGTCCAAGCTGTATGGAACTCTCTGGCACCTCTTAGAGCAGCTGTCAAACTACATCAGATGTTATGATAAAGCACGAGGGGAACCTTGGCAGATTCCATGGCGGGTGAGGGCAACCGAGGCAGGAGACAAACATGCCAGGCTTAAGTGAGAAGTTTTATTAGAAAGGGAAGGCAAGGGGGAAGGAAAGAGAACAGAGGTAAAGAGACACAGAGACAGAGAGGGCAGAAGAGGGAAAGTTCTGTCTGCCCCAGGGGAACAGCAGGAAAGACAGAACGGAAAGTGATCTCTGTGAGTTTGAGACCAGCTTGGTCTACCAGAGCTAGTTCCAGGACAGTCTCCAAAGCCACAGAGAAACCCTGTCTTGAAAAAAAAAAAAAAAAAAAAAAAAAAAAAAAAAAAAAAAAAAAAAAAAAAAAAAAACCAAAAAAGAAAAGAAAGAAAGATTATGCTTTCCATTTCTGTGAAAATCAAGTAGAATATGGCATTACAGGAGAACCACCTACTAATAATACAAAGTGACTTGTAAACAGAGTAACGCTGGTACACATCAGCAAAATTTTATCAAAATTACTCACTTCAAAAAGAACAGACAAGCTGGGTGTTGGTGGCGCACGCCTTTAATCCCAGCACTTGGGAGGCAGAGGCAGGTGGATCTCTGTTAGTTTGAGGCCAGCCTGGTCTCCAGAGCGAGTGCCAGGATAGGCTCCAAAGCTACACAGAGAAACCCTGTCTCAAAAAACAAAAAGAAAAAAGAAAAAAAGAACAGATAATATGGGTGTGCTGGTGCATACATATAAGCCTGTGGTGATATCTTGTTTGTACTCTAACAAATAAAGCTTGCCTGAAAATCAGAGGATGGAACTAACCACTAGTTAACCATAGAGGTCTAAAAGTCTGTACAGACAGACAGGAAATGATATGGCTGGGCAGTGAGAGGAATATGAGGTGGGAGGAGACGGTAGCTCAGCCTCTCTTCAGTTGGAGGATTTCAGAGGTAAGAACTCTAGTGGCTGCTGCTCTGCTTCTCTGATCTTTCAGCTTTCACCCTCTAATATCAGACTCTGGGTTTTTATTATTAAGATCAATTAGAAATCATGCTACATAATCCAAAACCTGAGAAGGCAGAGAAACATAGAACTCTGTGATTTCCAACCAGATTGGTCTATGAAGAAACTGCCAGGACAGTCAAAGGTACATAATGAGACCCTATTTCAAACAAACAAAAACTAGAAAGCACTCAGGGGATCACTCGAAATTCCTCCATAGACTTAGAACATTCACTCCAATTCTGTACCAGTTTATCATAAACTAGAGTAACCCATTTTAAACTGTAAAGTTAATAATTCCTAGGAAGGAAGGCATTTTTAAGAAGTTACTGACAGGTCAAAGTAATCAAAAACATTAATAAAGTAAATGCTGATCCTAAAACAATAAAGGGATGGAGTATATAAACATGAGTCAACAAATAAGATTATCTGTTGCTATTGAAGAGGACTGGCATTAATCCCCAGAACTCACTTAGAGGCCCCCAACCATTCCTAACTCCAGGTTAAAAGAACCTAATGCTCTCTCCTGACTTCAGTAAATACCAGGCAGACAAATAGTACACAGCCACAAACATAGGCAAAAGATTCACATATTTAAAAATGTTTAAATGTAAAACCATACATAAACTAAGGAAGGGACGGTGTAATACAACAGCTTCAGTGATTCAGAAGATCACTATTATTTTCATGACCACATGCATTCTTGGTCTGAAAAATGACACCCTCTGCCAAAGTTCAAAAGTCAGGATGTGTGCAAAATTCAATACAAAGGCAAATGCTTGACATGTACAAAACATAATTTCATCAGGCAAAAATATAAATGTAAAAATATAAGGCAACAAAAATGGACTAGCAAGGAAAATCAATTGTTTCTACTTTACCTAACATTAGTTATGTATGGAGTCTCTAATGGTGGTGATGGTGTGGCTACCTGGGAAGGAAGGGGCTGCACAGTTACAACCACACAAAGAAGTGTGATGAGGGTATAAATACTCAAAGCCCTTCCCCAGAGACTACATTCCTTCAGAAAGGCTCCTCCTCAGGGTTTCATAAGCCACCAAAGAAGGCGACATACTAAAGACAAATGCACAAATACAACATACTATCTGGAAGATTTTTCATTCAACTCTCCACATTTTAGAACAAGTCATGAATGGCTCATAGCCAAACCATGATGCAAAACACATTTAGTCAAATTTCAAAGATCCCTATATTATGTAACAGTCCCAACACTGTTCAAATAGCCAATGTTTCTTCTGACACTCAAGGCAATCGCTTGACTGTGACATCTTGTAATATCAAAACACAAACTATATCTATCCAACACACAATGGCACAAATACACATTTCCCTTTCAAAGTACTAAGAAAAGATTGGAAATCTTGCAGGACAATCCTAAATCCTGTAGCTCTGTGTCAGACACCTGGGGTTGCATTTTCAAAGCCCAGCAACTTCTCATATATCTCTCTCTGGCCACTTTCACTTTCACTTCCTATATACAGCTTTTCATGGCACGAATTTCAACATACTGTTACATAAAAATGGAACTGGGGTGGGGTCTAGAGAGATGGCTCAGCGGTTAAGAGCACTGACTTCTCTTCCAGACATCCTGAGTTCAATTCCCGGCAACCACATGGTGGCTCACAACCACCTTGAATGAGATCTTGTGTCCTCTGCTGGCATGCAGGCAGAAGACTGTATACATAATAAATAAGTAAAATCTTAAAAAAGAAAAGAATCTTTTAAAAAAAATGGAACTGAGGCTTTATCTCATGCCTTTATGTAAGGAAGTCTCACAGTCTCTTCACTGGAACCCAGGAGCTCCAGACCCAACACTTAGGCTGCAGGTTATTATCATTGAGACAAGATGTCCTGCAGCCCCAGGTGACCTTGAGTGCCATGTGTAACTAAAACAGCCCTGACCTTCTTCCTGACTTAATTTCCAAGTGCTAGGATTATAGGCACAATCCACCACTCTGGGCTTTAGGGCTACAGGTTTTGAAGCAGTTAGAGTAGGGCTTCCTCATTAAGTGACACAAAGGAAATAAGTGACACATGAGCGTTGACCAGCCCTGGCAAAGGGGAAAGCAGGTGTAATGTGATAATTTGCTTAATAACCAACAGACTGAAGCATGGTTAAAGCAGTGCCAAAAGAAAGCTAGGGCCAGGATAGGCTCCAAAGCTACACAGAAAAACCCTGTCTCGAAAAACAAAAAAAAAAAAAAAAAGAAAGAAAGAAAGAAAGAAAAGGAGAAAGCTAGGAAAGCCAGTGGACTTGGGAGGAATAGATTTTCCAAGGTCAATTAATATAAAGGTCTTCCATTTTCAAAATAAATATGTATACAGGAACATGACCTAAACTGTTGTTTAGATCTCTGGTGCTTTACACAAGGCACAGTGGTTGAAGAGCACTGTCTGCTCTTCTACAGGACACAGGTTTGATTCCTTTAAACCTCATGGTGACTCAACGATCAATAACTCCAGTTCCAGAGGACTCAATGCCACCTTCTGACCTCCTCAGACTGCAGGCATGCACATAGTATACAGACATACATGTAGACAAAACACCCATATACATACCATAAAACATTAACAGAAGGAAGGAAGGAAGGTAGGCCACAAATCTGGAATAGGTATTGATTTCATTCATAACCAGGTCACCAGTACTATTTGGTTGAATTCTAATTCACAGATGGTCTCACACCTATACATAAACATACTTCTAGTTTTTGTGGACACAGGATCTCTTTGTATTTCTGGCTGGCCTAGAACTCACTATTTGGACCAGGTTAGTCTTGAACTTCCTGTATCTGACTCCAAAATACTAGGATGTGAGCCCTCGTGCTTAGTTAACTGAATAAACTGATTTATCCAAAGTTTAATATAGCAACACATGTCGACCTGTGGAAGACAGGCAAACATAAAGCGAAAGCAACAGATCAGCTTTAAAGTCTTTTAACTCTAGCCAAGGGGATGTCTAGCCATGGCACAGCTATTTGGCCCCCTATTTGCCTAGGAAAACTTTGCATTTTATTTCTCAAGGATATACTATAGAATTCACAAAGAATATGCCCAAGTGAGGTCTGAGTCTTATAATGAGGAAATTGGTTTGTGCTTTTAGAGCCAGGTCTCGTTCTATGCTCTGGTCTCCACTAAAGTTATGTGATCCTCCTGCTTCAGCTTGTCAAGTGTTGGGATTATAGGTGAAGGAAATTGTGCATAAAAGCTGATACACAGGCAGACTATCTGCCTATTTATCATGTGTGAAGCCCAGTGGGGAAATAAGTAACTAATGTGGCCTCATTTCTCATCTAGTATGCCCATAAGCATATGAAATGCAGGCAGGGCACTTCCAACCAAAATGAATTGAAAGAGATGGGAAGGACATTGCACATTTAACGGAATGATGATGTTTCAATTTCTAACATCTATTCGCCAAA